GGCCGAGGGACTTCAGCTCCCAGAATCCCAGGAGCTATTGGCCAACATGGGACTATTGGCCAACATGGCTGAGGCTTCTGGGAGCTGAAGTCCCTCGGCCCTTAAAGGGGAAAGGTTGCCTACCCCTGCTATAGAGACTTAACTTGATGAATAAGAAGGGGTGAATTAACAACTAGAAAATTCATGTATGGTATAAAAATGGTAGTTTTTATTAATGTTCCCATTTCCCCACAATCTTTCATATGGACAAAACATTAATTTGCCAATCAGCTTGTTCAGTTATTAATGCCCTAGATTTTTCTAGTAATTTTTCCAGTTTCCTCAATTAACATTCAAGATAAAAATATCGTTTAGTGAACTAGATTGTTAGAATTTGTTACAATTTATATGAGTGGATGCATTTTCTTTTGTCGTATTCAACAAAACAGGAAGATCTGCTTGCTATGTCAGTAGTATTAGTGAATGAAGTGTATATACTGGTGGAGATGAAAAGAAAAAGGAGATGCAGAAGAATGAGAAAGTGAATTGAAGAGGTTATACTGTAAAATGACATTCTGTGCTTTTTGGAAAACCTTTTCCAACTTGGCAGTTCTCAAATGTGTTATATTCCCACCATTCCCAGGTACAATTCATACTATGGACTTTGTAGTCCTTGTGAGGAAAAAAAAATCCAAGTTAAAAGAAGGCAACGTTAAAAGACAAAAAGAGTTCTAATGACTAAGCACCCCCCCCCCATCAGAGTTGTTAAGAGCCCAACAATGAAGGACACAATTGTAGGCACACATTTATGGTCAGTCAGGGCATACTATTATGCAGATTATTAGCCTTGTGTGATTTGTAACAGGCAAAAGGTTTATTTATTATTTCATTTTTATGCAGCTTTTCTCCCAGAGAGGGACCCAAGGCAGCTCACAAGATAAAAACATTTTTAAAACTTTACAATAACATTTTAAAACAATTAAAATAATCTATTTAAAACATTGTAAAATTAATGTAAAGACGTACAAAAGTTAAAACATAACTAAAACATGTACCCCATGTAAAAGCCACCTTGTCATGATTTTCAAAAGCCTGCCTGAATAAAAAGATTTTTGCTGACAAAAGAAAAGCAGGGAGGGGGCCAGCCTAGCCTCCCGTGGAAAGGTGTTTCAGAGGGTAGGAGTAGTCACCAAGAAGGCTTTTTCTGGTGTTTTCATCAAGCAAGCCTGTGATGGTGGTGAGACTGAGAAAAAGCCTTCTCCTGAAGATCTTAGGGGTCTGGCAGGTTTGTATGGAGAGATGCGGTCTCTAGAGTTGGGAATGTGGAGTGGGACTCCACATTTGGAGTGGGGAAGTAGAATGGGGGTATGAATGCTTTGTTCCCACTGGTGCTTTCAGCTGGAATCTCTCAAAGACACTATGTGCTACTTGTAGTGAAGGAAAGCCTCCAGTGGTGATACCGGGAGCTTTCTTCAACTTGGAAATAGCAAATGCATGGGTTGGTAATTTGAATTGCAACTGCAGCACGAAAGAGAATTAAAATCTTTCTTTCTTGGAACCTCTCCAGGCACTGACAGCTGATGGCTTGTAGAATGCTACTGATCCATGGATCACCATTCTGAGTAGCACTGGTAAACAAGATGTCTCATAAGTAAAGGTCTTATAAGATGAATTAAAAAATGAAGAACAGCTAAAGTGATCACACCATAAGGCAGAACATAAATTTAAAATGTGTTGCCAATACTGCTATGTAAGAGCAGTATTGCTTTCTATTAAGTATAAAAACCTGGGCTGAATTACTTCTGTACAAATTTAAACCTTTAATGGGCCTTTGCAGACTGCCAGAAATAGTGCACATTAAATTGA